TGAAGCGGGTAATTATAATTAAGACAACTCTAAGTGATGAAATTCGGTCTGCGTATTCCACTAAGATCCAAGATACGGAGGGATTACCAAAATTCTAAAGAAAATTAGAAAATCCATCTCGATTAAGAAACTTTCCAAGAAATATTTGGCTTAAAGCAACAGCGACTTTAATTGCCTCAATTAGGTCATTCAGAGGAAACTGTTAATTATCTGTTAATCCTACAAATGAGAATTTTGCAATTAAAATGGCGAGCGTTATTTATTCGATGACCTCAATAAAATGCTGCAACACTTCTACTTTGACGACAGTCAATAACTTTGGATAAAGCATTTTTGGTGTATACCGATGAGTTACATAGAGAAACATTAAAAAATATATAATAAAACGCAATACTCGAGTATTTGAAGGACTACGGTAGACTAAAAAAGGAAGTACGCCACGGCTTGCTCATAAATAGAATTTATCCTGAGAATGTCGAAGCGAAACAGCGCCAAGAATGTAGTATCCGCGTGTAGTGAGTCTAGTAATAGTTTGCAAAACATCCTCATCTGCATTCCTAGAAAATGGAAGTTTAAAATTAACAAAGAGGGAAGTGAAACAATTAACATTATCCGCAGCTATCTGTTTTGCAGCAGAAGTTGTTGTTTTCTTTATTTTAATCTATATTTTATGTATTTATCTATAACATTAGAAGTTACGCAGATTTCTATTACGTAATTAATGTTTCAACTTTTAACTAAGTACCGTTAAAATTTTGTATTTCCTTTAAAATCTTTACATCTCTGAGCATAAAGGCTTCACATAGCCAGGGTACCGGTGCAAACGTGATTGCGATTTACGAAACCGGTCTGAGCCAGTTTGTTGAGACGCTTCGCAATATAGGAGCAATAGACACCGCCATTTCGGAAACATAAAACTATAAAGGTGTTTTAAAACTAAAACATACAATGGTAGCACTGCAGAGATAAGAGCTGTTACTGTTGTAATAAGGAAATGGACGAATGTCGTCGTAAATGTATTACTAAATAAGGAAAAAGGCAATGCATTGTTCAAAAGTATTTTTATTGAAGGAACCACGAACGACATGTCACATTTGATACGTGCTAAGATAACAGATTTGTTACTGAGATATTTTAAATATTTGCATGTGGACGTGTCGTGCGGCAACCGTTAACAATGAACTGCAGTATTCATAATGAATCTTAATTTAACATTCATTCAAAGCGTAGCGTTGTGTCGGAAGTGAATTAGACTTCGAAGATAAAGGTAACAAACAAAGGATTTCGATCTGTTCATAAAAACAGTAGCCTACAATTGATGTTTTATCCACATCCATGTTTGCAGTGTATCTGAATAAAACAATCCTTGACAAATATTTAGTACCTGATTTAAAAAAAAAAATCATGAAAGAAATTAAAGAATTTGTATAAACACGAAATCAAAGTTATTTGTGATTAAACATAAAAACTAGGAATAGACGAAGGTGGATTTAAAGACAAACCTTCAAGGTTGTAACCTGAATAACCTCTTTGGTTAAAACCAGTTGAGACAATGCTGAATAATCTCAATATCAAGGTGACGTTGGTATATTTAGCTGTTCTCGCGGAAGACTTACACGATCGTTGGGAAGCTGCGCAAGCGCCGGTACTCGGTAATGTTTATTTATATTGCAGTTGCTGGATTATATTAGCAAAGTTGTTTGACGGGCAGGTTTGAGATAATGTCTTCTGGTGTGTTCTGGCACAAGAGGTTATTTATCATCTTCGTTAAGCATATGAGTCTAAATATGTATTATAGTGCCTGGGTGTATGACGCATTCTATTCAAATCGTCAGATCTTACGCCAACTATATTTTATTGATGTTTTTGGCGACTTTCATCATTGGATTCTTTATAGTTTAAATTCGTAACTATGTTATTATTACGAATACGCTCTGAATGTGATTATAAAGTTTATCTGATTATCCTCACACTTTATCCCATCTATCGTCCTTTGCGTATATTTTAGAAAATGTATGAAGCTGTAGAGAGCTCACAATTTGCATGAATTTTACTTTAGTGATATTGTTATGCAGATGGAACTACCCACAAAACTCTCATAGCATGCATATTTATTACTAGCAATTCAGAGAATCAGTGATCTGCATAATGTTTAAGAGCAGCTCGATTACTTTTACCTCTAATGGCCTACGACATAAAGGTCATTTTATAACGGCCTAACGAAATGGTAACAATTCGAAATCAATTTTCCGTTGAATCCGATTTCCGCCAAATATTTCATTGTGGATTACTTATATAATTATTATTTGGAATGAAATATTTAAGAATTTTAATGGTTTCCCTGTAGATATTCATATATATGAAATTAGATGTATAATATTTGTTTTTAAGCAGAGTTACGATGGAGGAATAATGAGGTTAGAAGACTGATGTTAGTTGCCAGCTGTTCATGCAAACTTTACGTGAAGAAATCAAGAACCTGATTAACCCTCAGAATACAGAACAAACCAGAAGGCGTCAACGCGCTTCAAACTAAAGCAACTCAAACCACTCTTAACTGGAGTAGTTTGGAATTTCTACGATCAGTCAATTTTGGCACGTGGCATGTCGTGACGTATTTACGAGTATCAATTTTAATTTCATTATGCCGTCTTGTGTTATTCCTATGAGTAAAATTGCGGCTGGAATTACGGCAAAAGTGGATAAGATTACATTTCATCTGTAAGCATAGACTGCAATAGCATATTTAATTAATTATTGATTTTTTTTAACCGATTTATTTTTCTATGGAAATGATGCGGTCATTTTGTGAGTGTTGTCAATTTTGGTGTAAATTATACCCACTTATTTATTTGTTGTAAGTTATATTTTTGTCCAATAAGGAGCCTATGTCATATTAGGTTCCCTGCCGATTAACAAAGAAAATAAAAATCATACAAAGAGCACGGTAAGATAAATTTTGAAAACCATCTAGCCGGAGCATAGTTTGCTCAATTCACTTTGAAGATATATATTTATGACAAAGATGGTTTGAAAACAGTATTTCCTACTAAGGTATATCTATATATATCTCATCTCTTTCTATAAAACAAAATATTTCTTACCCTCCTGTTGTAAAATTACCCCGAACCAAGGGAATTGTTCCACTGTCGGCAACACTACGCGGGTGAGAAGTGCGGCTGGCGGGGGGATTGACGTATTGCTTTTGGACACATTAGACGACATACAATTATGAGAGAACGCGGTTTCTGGTTTGTTCTGTATTCTGAGGATTAACCCTACCATAGAGGCGAAAATTTGTATGGATGGGTGTTTGTTATTCTTTAACTTAAAAACTACAGAATCAATTTTGAAGGAAATTGGCAGAGAACTGGGTTACAGTAGGGAATAACATGGATGGCAGGAGTTAACTAGACGCTCAATAATTACAGTATACAATCAAAAAACAAATCGAAATAACATTACACTAAATATTATCGAGAATATAATAAAGCATTACATTTAACAAAAACGTGTTAAGCAAATTGGTTGTAAAACACGTGGAAAAACTGTTTACAATATTATGTACATACATCCGACCGGTCGCGTGTTGATAGCGGGTGGACAATGTCATTTGTTATTTTAAATTAAACACGTTTTAAGTATCTTGGACGAAAACTTGGGCTGGAAAATATATTATTCTCGTCACTCATATTATATTCCTTCGACACATACATTTTATATATTACTGATATATTTTTATATGTCAAAAAGTCGACCATGTATATTTTTTTTTTTAAATTAGAATATAATCAACGTTTACCGACTAGCTTAGCTATGCTTATTAAAACGACTTTTATAATTTGTTGCCATTTAATAATCCGACCTAAAAAGCAGTAAATATTTTGAAAAACAATCGAATTTTTTTAAGCGAGATTAAATTACACATTGTATTCCTAAAGGACACGTAAATAAATATTAAAATAGTAATCCTAATGATATGTTACACAAACACGTAGTACACACACAATATAGCGAAGTTTATCAACGGCAGCGCAATTAGTGTCTGCAATAAAAATGCCAGTGGAGCCGTCAAAACAAACTCGCATTTCTGGAATAAGGTCATCGGCCATCTCTTCCGCATGCCGTCCTTCTTATCAGCAGGCGTCAGTACTTACTCTATGCCTAAACAAACTATATTCTGTGTCAACAAGGACTTTTATTTTTAATTAACAACAATATGGTCTTTTAATGACTACTTTTTGTTTCATATTTTCCTTCCAACATCTCCTTCTAAATTTTTCGCCTAGGCGAACTTTTAAAATCTCATTCTCATGTCATGGTATAGGGCCGTGGGCGGCTTTGATCCCCTTCCTTCCATCAATTTCCTTAATGTCAAAAAGTATTGACAAAAGTTTAATTGGTTTCCAAAACTCTCCAAAATCACTTCTGGTATCCTCCATCAATTTATCTCTCCATTTTCCATATTACTTAATATTTGAGTAGTTGGAAAATAGGGCATCCAGATCAGAGATCTGGATACCCTATTTTCCACATTTTAATCTTCTATTCACATATTATTTTAAGATAGCAGGCATGGCAGTAATATTCATAAAAAAGATCATACTTATTGAATATGATAATATGGAATGCTCTCGCTATTGTCCATTGCGCTGCCTTATATACCTAGGTACGTAGTGCAGTGGCTATTTATTACATGTATAAGAATGAGTTAGCAATAAAAAAATGATATTTTGAATTATTTTATTTTAAATATACAATTTTTGATATTTTTATAGTTGATATCTATTCATTACTACATAGGTACACTTATAATTATTTACATAAACTTTTTTAGAAAATTAAACATACATAAGTGGTAAACGGTAACGTCTATACATTTTAAATTATTAAATCTATACTCTTGGTTCGATGTCATCCTGAATTTTGGCAATTAATTCTCTCGTACTGGTATATATATCATCGTATAATATAGTTTTCACAACATGTTGAACACACACATCAGCCTCACAATTACACATCGGCTGTTCGGATTTTTGAAAACTGTCTGTATCATAGATTTCTATTTTTATTATTTTCGTTCCACGAGAAACAGGCTTCTTTATAAATTGATAGAATGTCTGATCTGTTTTTGATCTCTTGCGAGCGAGACCCAGCGTCTTCTGTCCAGTGGTTTGTTGGACTGGTTGATTCATGGGTACAAAATTGAAGAGATCCTCCGAGTCCTGAAATAACAATACAATATTAATTTAAGTTACACTACAAACGTTACGATTGAAATAAAGGCTTATGTGGAAATAATTAATGCTGTGATGCTACTTACTACTATTGTTAATATTAATACATTTTTAAATTGTTAGTGAATGTATTAAAGTAACACTTACCGACATTCCGCAATTATATCAGTCTGATTCAGTCTTCACCATCAGATTCAAAGATGAAATGGATTTCAATTTATTATATCCCCCTTTTATATTTTTAAATTTAATTATTTCTTTTAATACATAGAGTTCAATATCGTATATTTTTGTTAGATGTTAATATCTATACAAAAATGGTATGGTGAAATTGAAACCGCAGACATTACGACGCCTAACATTTTATTGTTTATCGAAAATATATATCGACAAAATAATACTACTGTATTTTTGTTCACGGTTATTGTTTTCATACATTTTATTAAAATGATTTGGCAAGCAAAATCATGGTATGTTAATAGTATATCAGCGTTAGCGAATTTGCAACGTAGCTGAATTCTTTTTAAGGAGACGGATCATAACAATTGATCAATATCGACATACAATTATTAAGCCTGGTTTTACCTGCTATTATTATTATAAAGATTAAAAATAAATAGTTTTTTGTTATTAATTTATTTTTTTAATAGCTTAGATGTACCTCTATGCTGGAATAAAACACAAGATTTACTTAATCGATCTGATTATTATTGTAGTAGGTACCTACAATTAGTGAGCATCGACACGTTTTACGTTTTCATACAATTGTTCAACTTCTTCTATATTTCATAAAAACAAATAAGTTATCATAGTAATTGTGAAAAAATTATAAGATAAATACAAGCTTATTTTTACATACCGAAATATGAGATTCTGACTAGTCATATCTCCATTCCTCCACATGTCTAGAAGTTGCATGCGAGCGTGCAAACCGCAGCGTTTGTACCGTCGCCTGACGTCAAAAACATTCAGTAAAAAACAACAATCTTCAAACTTTTTTTCTAAATATGAAATTCCCCTATTGTTTATTTAAGTAAGTATCTATATTCATCATCCGTCTACATTATCTATCTATACATATAATAATCTACACTAATATTATATAGAGGAAAGATTTGTATTTTTGTATGTTTGTAACGAATAAACTCTAAAACTACTTAACCGATTTCGATGAAACTTGGCATACAGATAGACCATAACCCGGAATATGACATAGGATTTTTTATCTCAGTATTAAGTTCCCGTGGGATAATTTAAAACTAACGCGGGCGAAGCCATGGGTAAAAGCCATCTTATATAATAACACTAAGCTTAAAACCTTAACCGCTCAGATTTGTACGCTCGTGTATGCAATTTTTGCAAGTATGCAGTTTTACAAATTTGGATTGAATGATGTGATTTTAGGCCTATAAAAACGCATAGCAAATTAGTCTCCGGTACAATTCCTCTCTGGTACGAATCCTCTCTACAACGGATCAACTCTCCGAGCTCCTGATCAAGCTACCTGTCTAAACACCTATCAAGAATGTAAGTATCTATTCATAATCATTTATCTAACTATTAAATGGTCAGAGCAATGTATTAGTTGATATATTCAAGTATTCGAATGTTGACCGTCAATATTGTGATGCAGGTTCGATTCCTGCACAGATCGAATATGCTACTTTGTGTTGAAAAAAAATGAAAACTAAGTACCAGTTACATAATTATTTTAATTTATTTCAACTATAACACAATGATAATTATGACTGCTTATGAAAGATTGGACAGTCGAGGGTTCCATTCTCGTAACGTTTCAAGTCTAACTGTGACATACATATAGTTAATCTGATCATTATTTCTTATCTCTGTAGCATAGATAGAATATTCTAGTTTGACGTTAAGACTATGTGTCTGTACCTATACCAAGCATTGTATTTGTTGTTCATCGATTTTTATAATTTTTAATATTAGATTTATACATAGAAATATTTAGAGATATAGCGAAACCTAATCAACATAAACACCTATACATATGTAGAAAATAAAATTATCGATTACAGTGCACTAATAATATATTATTTATACACAGGTCGAAGCTACTCGCCAACGATCTCTTTCTCTCCAGCGACGATTCTGAAGCGGAGGTGAAGCCGAAGGGGAAGTCGGAGGACAAGAAAATGAAGAGAGAGCGATCCGGCAAGTCGAGTGAAGGATCTAGTTCGAAAAAGTCCAAACCAACTATCTCCCCAATTTCTCCGCCAGCATGCGTTACGGCCAATGAATTATTCGGTGACGAAGACGATGACAAGAATGAATGTGTTAAGAGCTCTACCAAAACGGGTAATGTCCCACCTATACATTCTTATTTTACGAAAAGGCTGCGGAAGGGCTATTCTCGGCAAATTAGTGAGACGAAAGAAGGAAAATATTACGTCGAGTTAAAAATATATGATGTCGAAGAAATAAAAAAAATTATGCCGATAAATAGATGGCGGCATGCTATTACTACTATAAAAACTAAACTGGATGAAGATAAGGAGTCTTGGCGCCATATAAAAGAGTTCATCTTAGCGACCCAAAAAGATTTTAAAAATTGTCCGCTGTCGTACTTAGGATCCTACGAAACTTAACGATTTAACCTATTGTTAATCAATTTATTATTCCTGTACACATTTTTATATTAGGTACATGATGCATAGTTATATCTCTATATACAATATAATAACATTTATCCCAGCATTAGCTTTAATTCATAGGGTAATTCAATGTATTTTGGTTATTTCATTATATTTTATAATTATTATCATTGTTTTTTTCTTTGTTTCACAGCTTCTACACACCTCACTAATAAGTCAAGATCTAGAAAAATAAACTGTGACAAATGTAAAATATTAATTCCAGAAAATCAGTATTCCTATCATATGAGAACTAATATACACAAAGCAAACTGTTTATTGAATACCAAGTTCGCAAATATTCATATTATTGCGACAGCATTCAATAACAGAATAATGACATACAGATTGAATGTCACTCAGGAAGACGAGTACCTCGGTCTAGAGGCGTTCCTGAGTGATCACCAAACCAATATAGCAGAATTGATTACTATGTCACTAAATAAACACAACTGCATAAAAGTTAATTTCGAATTGTTTGCATATTTTATGCTACCAACTTTAGAAGAAAAGCAGCTAAAGTCATTTAATACCAAGTACAATATTATTTATAAAAACACTGATTTGAATGAATTATTAACTAAAGTAATGAATGCATTGAACGAGAAATTAACAGAGTTCCAACACTGTCAATCTGGTTGGACGTTTGTTTCTATGAGTCATCTCGAAATTAATATAAATAAGTATTCACCTATGAGGGGTGGATCTTATATAGATTTACCACCAGCTATTAAACATTCTAGAAGTTGCATTAATATAAAAAATGAAGATGATTGTTGTTTTCTATGGAGTATAGTTGCTGGATTATATCCAGCGAAAAATAACGTGTGCAGAACAAGTTCATATCCTCATTATTCTTCGGTTTTAAATATAGAAGGAATGTCATTCCCACCCACAATGAATGATATTAAACAGTTTGAGAAAAACAATCCAAATATGAGTGTAAATATATATGGTTTGCAAAATAATATTGTAACTGGACCTCTTTATGTATCGAAGCATAAGAGAGAACATCATTTTAATTTACTATATATTGAAAACAATACTGTTGGACACTATTGTTTAATTAAAGATCTTATACGTCTTGTACGACGTCAAGTAACTCATTATAAAGGTAAAGTTTATTTATGTGATGCATGTTTACAATTTTTCAGTAGCGAAACAAGATACAAGTCTCATAACTGTTCTAAGATATTGTCTATTTTGCCTGAAAAAAAAATCTATATTGAAATTTAAACATTTTGAGAGGCAGCAGAAAATTAATTTCATCATTTATGCTGACTTCGAATGTATGTTAATTGACTGTAATGAAAGTAACTCTTTAAACACTCGGAAACTAAAGACACATCAACCTTCATGTTTTGCTTATTATATCTGTTGTGCACATAATAATGAATTAAATAAGTATGTCTCATACAGAGGTACAGATTGTGCGGAAGTATTTGTTAAATATTTAATAAGAGACGCTAAACGTATACATAGAATTTTAAGTAATAAAAAGTCTATGACTCCGTTAACAACTGAGCAAGAGATGAATTATCAGAACTCGAATACATGTCACATATGTAAACAACTATTGCTTAATGACAAAGTCCGAGATCATGATCATATTACCTCAGAGTACCGTGGGGCAGCGCACTCCCATTGTAATTTGATGTATAGAGTTTGTTCATTCATTCCTGTCGTCTTTCATAATTTGTCTGGATATGACTCACATTTATTCATTCAAGAGTTAGCAAAGTATGAAGGTACTATTAACATAATACCGAAAACTAAAGAAAAATACCTCTCAATAACGAAAGTAATAAAGACAGAAAAATATAATCATCCTATTCAGATAAAATTTATTGATTCTTTTCAATTTCTTAGTTCTAGCTTAGATGCATTGAGTGATAGTTTATCAGAAAACGATTTTTTAAACTTATCAAGAGAGTTTAGCGATAAAAGAAAATTTGATCTAATGAGAAAAAAGGGTGTTTATCCTTATGATTATATCGATTCTTGGTCCAAATTTGATGAGACGCAACTTCCATCAAAGTATCATTTCTATAACAGTTTGTGTAAGAAGCATATAACTGATGAAGAATATTTACACGCTCAAACAGTTTGGAATGTTTTTAACGTTAAATCTCTTGGTGAATATACAGATTTATACATAAAATGTGATGTGCTTTTACTATGTGACATATTCGAAAAATTTAGAGAAACAAGCTTACAGTACTATAAGTTAGATCCAGCTTATTATGTTACTTCACCGAGCTTAAGCTGGGATGCAATGCTTCTATATACTGACACTGAACTGGAGTTAATAAGTGACTTGCAAATGTATGAGTTATTAGAAAAAGGAATTCGCGGTGGGCTGGCACAGTGTTCTCGACGTCATGCTGAAGCAAATAATAAATACTTACCACATTTTAACGAGTTAGAACCAAGCAGTTATTTAATATACCTTGATTGTAATAATCTGTATGGCTATGCTATGATGAAGAAACTTCC